GGTTTTGAGCCAGCATCACGAAGCTATAAGACCAGCATTCTTCCGGGCAATGTACCACTGATTGCACCGTTCTGGAATCGTAATGATCTTCGTAGCGGTGGACGAGTCTTTTATCGTGAAGAAAAAGGTTGGCAATACTAATTTGTAGTCTTCTTTTTTTTTCTTCTCTAATTGATCTGCTATTTTTTTTTTTGGTAACGACTCTAAATTATTCCAGTTGTAATAATGTTTATTCGTAATGATCTGTTTATATAATAGGGGTAGCAGTAAAGAATAGGGGTAGCAGTAGCAGTAAATCCGTAGCAGTAAAGAAACGTGGTCTTATTTTTATTAAGAAATTGTAAATTATCTTTGGAGCTAAAGAGTTATGTAAAATATTGTTTTTTAAAATTCAGTCTTTTTTACTTTGGCATAAGAAAGTAATTCGTAGAAGTGATAGTGACATTGGTATGAGGTTGATTTGTGAAAATCTACTGTCTAAAAAGTTTCAACTGCTGGTCGTCTCTAATGCGCCGGAACCTAACCGAAAAAAAAAAATTGGCATGCGACGCACAGATGTTCACTGTCCGTTTTTTTTAATTGTACTTTTTTGGAAAAAGGAAGAAAGAGTTACTGTAGAAGGTCAAGAAATCAAAAGTTTAATTGGGTAGTCTTTGTTAGAAGATTGAATTGTGAGGCCATGACTTGAAAAGTTACGGAAGAAAATTAGCATTTTTTGAGTAGACCTTCTTGCCTTGACGATTGAAAATTGAGAGCAGTCGTTGAGACTGATCTTGGCAAGGCTACCAGTAGCATGGCTTCAAGCTACGTATCAAACGATCAGTTGGCATTTCCACGCAGTAGGAAAAAAAAAGTTGAAATGGTGGATACCTCGTGACAAAAACGCGGCTTATGGCGTGTTTTCGGTAATACTATAGGGCAGCTCTTTAGCGATTTAAAAGTGATTCGTATTTGCAAGAAACTGTTACTTATGATAGGAGACTGATGGGCTATGATAATGGGGTAAGGAAGCAATGCTAGATAGCTGTGAACCAGCACATATCTGAGCTTTTAAGCCAAATCGTCATTAAATAAGTAGAATAATTCGCATAGAATTTGGGGGTATTTTTGCAGGGGAGTTTTGCTTAAAATTAGAGCAGGAGAACAAAAAATTGAAGAAATTACTTTCAAAGCTTTTGGAGGAGGTGGAAATTTGGTTACTGCGGGTTAATATCAGATAGCATAGTTTGAATTAAATAATTTTCACTTTGAATGAGTTTAAATTAACGTTTTCTTAGAGTAAAAGATAAAAGTGAGCAAATGTAACATATGGGCTGGATAAATAATAGTTAAAAATAATATTTGTTAAAGCTGGTCGAGTACTGGAGAGAGGACAAAGCGAAATTCGTTACCAGTATGATTTGGTGGTGAGGGTGAGAAGTTGTTTGCTGGTCACCTGGGAAAAGATGCAACCTCATGGAGCTGCTGCACTTCCAGATGATGTAACAGTTTGTTGCATCTTTCTTTTTTTTAATTTTAATTCAAATTTTATTTGAGCAAATAAGACGATAGCAAGAAGTGCTTTTTTTTTGGCTTCTGTTTCACTGCATAAAACTTGGAAAGGGAAAAGAGGAAATTTTAGCAATAAAAAACAACTGTAGGAATGAGACATTACTATTTTAAGTTGGTAAAAAAAATTCTGCAAAAGAAAAAAATTGTATTCAATCAGTTGAACTACTGATTTCTTAATACATGGCGTTTTTTTT